GTCTCTAGCCCCTAATTCTCCTTAAGCATTGCCAAATGAGGAGCAGCACTGGCAGACTTTCTAAGCCTAAAGCAGAGAGGGAGGGAGGGGGGGTAGGAGAAGGATATCCAATCCAACCTCTGGTGTGTGAGAGAGAGGCGGGAGGGAGGGAGAGGGACATAGAGGCAGCTTCTTGGAGGTGCATTTTGGAGAAGTGTCAACAGAAATGCTAAAAGGGCAATCAACTTGGGATTAAATTCCAAATGAAATTGGGTCTTCAGGGTAAGGAGACATGGAAAACTTTAAACTGCAGGTTTCTAAAAATCTGATTAAAAGAAGGGTCTAGAGGCAGCTCTTTAACCCATTAGTCCAGAGGGAGGAAAAGAGATGGGGTCCTTATAAATGTCTTTGCTATTTAGTTTAGGAATAACAGAATAACAGAGTGGAAAGGGACTTTGGAGGTCTTCTAGTCCAACCCCCTACTCAGGCAGGAAAACTGTGGGTGCCAAATCTGAGCAGAGGGCCTGGGAAAGGTGTCAGAATAATTCTTAGAAGGGACCTTGGAGGAGACCCTATACCATTTCAGAGAAATGGCTGTCCAGTCTCTTCTTGAAAAACTCAAGTGTTGGAATGCCCAGAACTTGTGGAGACAAGCAGTTCCACTGGTTAATTGTTTTTACTGTCAGGAAATTTCTCCTTAGTTTTAGGTTGTTTCTCTCTTTGTTCAGTTTCCATCCATTGCTTCTTGTTTTGCCACACCCTTCTTTGTGGCAACCCCTCAAAACCCTGTTTTGTGACCTGCATATCACACTCCTGGACAAAGCATGTGAGCCATTTCCTCCATTCAGTGGTCCATGAAAGTACATCTGTAGTATGTAGAGGCAGATAATAAAGTCAAAAAAAGATGAGCAACATTTTTACAGAACTATAGATACATTGAGGCTGGGGGTGACAAGGAGTGGCTGGGAGAGGAGGGACTGGGCAAAGCACTCCTTGACATGAGTGATGTGGAGTTGACCACATCCACCCAGTCACATGACCACCAAGCCACACCCACAGAACCAGTAGTAAAAAAAATTGAATCCCACCATTGGTTGAAACTACAGGAACCTTGGAGACAAGTGATCATAAAATATTGGACTTAAACATTATGCAAACACAAATAGTAGAACAAAGTCAAATTAGAGTCTTGGACTTTAACAGAGCTAATTTCAATAAACTTAGAGAGAGCTTGAGAAGGATTCCATGGATGAGAATCATCAAGGGGAAAATAACTCAAGAAGCTTGGGAAATTCTGTAAAGTGAGATTATAAAAACCCAGTCTAGCACAATACCAATGAAGAAATAAAATAACAGCTCTCAAAAAACCCAGCATGGCTGCATAAGGAACTCTCTGACAAATTGAAAGACAAAAAGGACAGGTATAAAAAGTAGAAAGAGGGGCAAATAACTAAGGCAGAATATCAACAAATAGCCCGGGCCTTTAAAGATGAAGTGAGGAAAACTAAGTCTCACAATGAACAAAGGCTTGTGACAAAAGTAAAAAAAAATAACAAAAAATGCTTCTTCCAACATGTTACAAACAAGAAAAAAGTCAAGGAAACAATAGGCTTGTTGCTGGGAGAAAGTGGCAAGAAGGTGACAAGCAACAGGGAGAAAGTAGAACTACTTAACTCATTTTTGGGGGGAAAAGTAGTTCAACCTATCAAAAGCAGCACCACAAAAAACAGATTAGGAACACAAGTTAAAATGGGGAAGAAAATGGTAAGTGTACATCTGTCAATTTCAAATCACTAGGACTGGATGGATTACACCCCAAAGTTCTGAAGGAATTGGCAGATGCAATCTCAGAACCACTGAACTATATCTTTCAAAGATCCTGGAGCACCCGGGAACTGCCAGAGGACTGTTAAAGAGCTCATGTTCCCATCTTCAAGAAAGGGGGAAAAATAGATCCAGGAAACTATAGACCTATCAGCCTGATCTCAATACCATGGGAGATTCTGGAAAAGATAATCAAGCAACAAATCAGTGACCACCTAGAAGTAAACAAAGTAATAACCAAAAGCCAACATGGCTTTGTTAAAAACAGATCATGCCAGACTAATCTTATTGCATTCTTTGACAAAATGACAAAATTAGATGACCAGAGGAATGCTGTTGATATAATTTATTTGGATGTTAGTAAGGCATTTGATAAAGTAGACCATAACGTACTACTAGATAAAGTAGAAAAATGGGGTTAGACAGCATCACCACCAGATGGATTCATAACTAGCTGACCAATCACACTCAACGTGTAGTCCTCAATGGAACTGCATCTACATTGAGGGAAGTATGCAATGGAGTACCACAAGGCTCTGTTTTAGGCCCAGAACTTTTCAACATCTTCATCAATGACTTGGACAAGGGGATAGATGGGGAACTCATGAAATTTGCAGATAACACCAAGCTGGCAGGAATAGCCAACACTCCAGAAGATAGGCTTAAGATACAGAAGGTTTTTGACACACTTGAACATTGGACACTATCTAACAAAATGAAATTCAATGGTGAAAAAAGTAAGGTTCTACATTTAGACAAGAAAAATCAAATGCACGGGTACAGTATATGTGATACCTTGCTCAATAGTAGTAAGTGTGAGAAGGATCTCGCAGACTTAGTGGACAACCATTTAAATATGAGCCAGCTATGTGCAGCAGATACCCAAAAAGCCAACACGGTTCTAGGCTGCATAAACAGAGGGATAGAGTCAAGATCACGTTAAGTGTTAATACCATTTTATAATGCCTTGGTAAGGCCACACTTGGAATACTGCATTCAGTTTTGGTTGCAACGATGTAAAAAAGATGTTGAGACTCTAGAAAGAGTACAGAGAAGAATAACAAAGATGATTAGGGGACTGGAGGCTAAAACATATGAAGAACGGTTGCAGGAAGTGGGTATGTCTAGTTTAATGAAAAGAAGGACTGGGGGAGACATTATAGTAGTGTTCCAATATCTCAGGAGCTGCCACAATGAAGAGGAAGTCAAGCTATTCTCCAAAGTACCTGAGGACAGGACAAGAAGCAATGGGTGGAAATAATCAAGGAGAGAAGCAACTTAGAACTAAGTTTCCTAACAGTTAGAACAATTAATCAATGGACCAGCTTGCCTCCAGAAGTTGTGAATGCTCCAACACTGGAAGTTTTGAAAAAGATATTGGATAACCATTTGTCTGAGGTGGTATAGGGTTTCCTGCTTGGGCAAGGGGTTGGACTAGAACAGTGGCCCCCAATCTTTTTTGTACCACGGCCAAGTACCGGCATCACAAAATGATCCACGGACCGGTACCGGCATCAGCATGCACGACCAAGGCAAGGCGAGCCAAGCGACCAGCCAGCCAGCCATACCCTGCTTCTCCCCGCCACCTTCAACTCCTCCTTTGTACCTTCTCGCAGTCGATGGGCTTTTCGGGCTTTTTCTTAATCTCCTCCTGAGTAACGCGAGACTCCACTGGCTTCATTTGAAGCCCCCCCCCTTCGATGAAACTAAGGCATGAGGATTCCTTCATCACCCAAACGCCGCTTTCCATCCAACCGACGACCAACAAGCTCACCCGGAAGCACTTTCTCAAGTGCCGTCGAAACAAGATGGCAGCACCCAAGCAAAGTAGGTGGCCCGGTACAAAATGATCCATGGACGGGTACCAGTCCGGGGCCTGGTGGTTGGGGACCCCTGGACTAGAAGACCTCCAAGATCCCTTCCAACTCTGTTATTCTATTCTATTCTATTCACTACATTTTTCTGGTCTTTTTATATCTGTATAAAATGGAAACAAGGTAGTGAGGGTTGAAGTTTACATTAGTTAGTAAAACTTATAAAGAAACCAATTGAATAATGCTGAGACAATTTGAATAATATGAATAAAAACAACATATTGAATCAACAAGACAAAATTATAAGTTATATTTAAATAAACATGATGTTCAGCCAAGACAAGCTCAAAAGTGATCTCCCAAGTCAATAAGCTTTGTTATGAAAGGCTTATCACTTGGCTTTCTCCAAGTTGGGTGATTGAATACTGGTTCACAAGGTGTTTTTGAACTGAAAGCAAGTTTAATTTTAATATATCAATCATTCAATTAAGACCTCTATTGCAAGAAATTCCTGGAAAACAATATTCTGAGAAGCCAATGGATTGAATTTGAAATGCTAGTTTACAACCAAAATGTGATATTATCAATAACAAGAATAAGAGTACCACAAATCTGTCCTCTGAACAGGTGAACAGAAAAGAATATTTTTACTTTATTTTTACTTTATGGGCTGCTAAAATAAATTTGACACAAATTGAATTTATTAGATGCTTGAGGATGACTCCCAAATTATTTTTTCACATTCTTCCCTTCTGTAAGCTTCCATTAATTTTTTTTTATCCCTGTAGCTCATATATGGGTCACATCCAAAGATACTGGATGAAATTCGATCCTTTTCCTTCTGCCACATGGTCCCAGATGAAAATATTATGTACCATGGACTTCTTCAGCTGCTTGTGTATTTCAAATGGATCTGGGTTGGGATCCTAACATGGGATGATATTGAAAGATTTGTGAGGATGACTTTTTCAACTTTTCTTCTTCAAAAAAAATTCTTCAGATACCACAGAGAAATGGAAATTTAAGAACAGATCTTCCCACCATCTGTAATTATCATAAATACAGTTATTAATTCTTCCTGGTGCTGAAGTCTTTATGGCAAATGTATAACCAAAAAGGATTCAGACCATATGAATACTACCAATATTTGCTGCCTGTGCTGATCTGTAGCTTGAATCAAAATACAGATGAAGTCCTTTCAAGCTTATTCCTGAAAAGGTGAATTCAGGGTTTCAGAATATTGTCAACAATGTGATGGTGAGGTGGTAAGGCAAATCATGCTAATATATTTTTGGAGACTCTTAACCATTATTAGGCAAACTCTGTTCTATATATCTACTCAGCACAATGACCATGACAATTTTTCTCTTGCTTTTATCTCTTATGGTTTCAAAAAGTGACATAAGAAACTGCATTATTTCTGATCCTCGTCCTATTTCTCACAACTATTTCCAACCTGGTGATCTCATCATTGGTGGCATTACTTCACTAATGTTCATGCCTATAGAGCTAGAAAGCTTCATGGAAGATCCCCATCTTTCATTTATTGATGAAGTCATGTAAGTGTTCCCCACCCCATTGTGAGGTGCAAGAGATATTATATTATACTTGTATTTAGGATAATGCTACATATACCAGAATTAGTTGTAGTGAAAAAATATCTTTTATCAAATTCAAATGATTCAATCTTGATTAATTTCCCAGAGGTTCTTAAAAGAATTAGCAAATAATGCTTCAATATACTAATTGAAGAATAGAGGATCCTGATCAGAGATGGTATTCAGCAGGTTCTGACCAGTTCTGGAGAACCAGTAGTGGAAATTTTGAGTAGTTTGGAGAACCAGCAAATATACCTCTGATTGGAGACTTTACAGTATCCTTCCCCTGCCACACTCACCAAGCCATGCCCACAGAACCAGTAATAAAAAAAATTGAATCCCATCACTGATCCTGATATTATGTCACAGAAATCTTGATGTTCACTGAACCAACATTTTTACCAGAATAAAAAAGATCTTTAAAAAAATCCATTGTTGTACAGGAATTTTTATAATTTTTATAATTGTAACTACGATTTTCTTTTTGAGTTCCTCACTTTACTTATAGAATTCATATCTTTTTCCTTAATAAATTCAGAAATCCCTTCTTCTTACAACTTGTTCAGATCAGTAATAAATTATTATATTGTTACAATTAGTGATTGCTATGATTTTTCAGATTAGAAAAAGTTTAAATCAAAGAGCATTTAAGACACTAAGATGCTTGTGTTCTATGTTCAAAAACTATACAAAGCTAAATCAAATACTATACTTGTCACACAATGTGTGTCATGGGGATGATTGCTTTCAAAAGCAAAATATTAGGATCTACTATATATTTGTTGCAATGTTTTCTCTAAGATAATAAGCTCTTTTTATCATGTACAATTACTATTCCAGTGTCCAGACTAAGTTTTATCAGCATATTTTGGCTTTCATATTTGCTGTGAAAGAGATAAATGAAAACCATCAGATCTTGCCCAATGTCACCTTGGGCATCAATATTTTTGATAGTTATGGTAGAAGATGGATTTATCATGCCACAATGGAACTTTTTTCACCTCTGAAGAGAATGGTCCCCAATTATGAATGTGGGATCCAAAACAACTTGGTCTCAATCATTGGGGCTCTTTATTCTGAAATCTCTATTGACATGGCAGATATCTTGAGGATCTACAAATTTCCACAGGTAAGTTGTTTGATTGATTTGAGATCTTATGAAGTCATCCAGATTTTTATGAACCTTTTATATCTGTATATGTTAGAAATATTTATGTGTGTTCCTGATATTTACTTATGTTACATTAATTAGTAAAACTTACGAAGAAAGAGAATGTCTTCAAAACTGAGACAATGTGGTTAATGAATTTGATGTTATTGGATGATTTTAAGGCTTTTATGAAAGGATCATGATGTTTAGAAAAATGCCCCAATGAAATAAGAAAAAAAGACAGTTGCATAATTCAATGGTTTTTATGACAATCCCAAATTATTTTGAACTGGAATACTTTACACTGAATGAACAAGAGAAGATTATAAATCACATTCAAAGGAGTATGTTCAATCAAGGCAAGCTATAGTGCTCACTTTACTGTCTTCAAGTGATGAGACTAAGATCTACTCTTTATTTATTTAGTTTAGTTTGTCAAGCATGTATGAGAAAACAAGTATAAGTATGAACATAACCTATAAACATATAAGTATAAATGGGTACAAGTATATACAAAATAAATGAGTACAAAAAGATGGAAACAGTAGGACAGGGACACTAGGCACACTGGTTTGCTTATGCACGCCCCCTTACAGACCTTTTAGGAACTGAGTGGGGTCTATGGTAGACAATTTAAGATTAAAGTTTTGGGTGTTTGAGGATGTAACAACAGAGTCAGGTAGTGAGTTCCAGGCATTGACCACTCTGTTGCTGAAGTCATATTTTCTGCAATCGAGTTTGGAGCAACTTACTTTGAGTTTGTATCTATTGTTTGCCTGTGTGTTATTGTAGTCGAAGCTGAAGTAGTCATTGATAAGTAGGATGTTGTAGCAGACAATTTTGTGTACTAAGCTTAGATCAGACCATGAGAGACATAGTTCTAAGTTGTCTAAATCCAAAATTTCAAGCCTGGTGGCATAATGTTATATGGGATTGTGGTAATCATTATAATAGGATTTATTTCTTATATTTGTAGCCAATGTATGCCTGCATGTAAGTTTTTTGCTTGCTGTTGTAAGGTGACTAAGCCTAAGAAACAGAAAGTAGCAGGAAAATATTTAAGCTAGTAAGAGGTTAGTCTTATGTTGAGAGTGATAAATGATCATTCCCAGGTGTAAAATGGTATCAAAAAGGAAAGGTTGGATTGTTATATATGGAAATTATATATATTGTAAGTTACACCTGAGAAAATGAAGAACAGAAGAGATTCCATGTTTATCTGATATATGACCTGTACAATGATTACTGGACAATTATATAACTGTATCTAACAAACATATTATGTTTTGTAACTTGTTATGTTTTCAAGTTCTTGGCTGGGATGGGAGTTTGTAATCTTGGTTTAAAGATTAATGCTAGGTCATTCTGACCTAACGGAAGCCTTTTAATGATTCATTGTGTTTAGATGGACATAACAGGAAGACATGGTCATGAAAAGAAGATAGTTTCCCAGAGATGATGGTTTGGGCAGAGTAAGGATTGAAAACTATCCAGAAAAAGCCCCTAAAACCCCTGAGCAAGCATAACAGAAACAATTATGTAATCACAGAATATGATATTCTATAAATGCGGTAACCATTTTAAGGGTGGTATCTTCATCTCCTGCTTGTTAGGGAGATGGGATCCTATTCACATATTTGCAAATATTCCGAATAAACTGAAGCTTTTTATGGTTTCTTTGGTTGTCAAGTCTGCTTTTTTATGGTGAATCTCACACATAAGGTATTCTATTGTGAGCTGAGGAGTGAAGTACTCCTTGTGAAATACCTCTGGACTCATTCAATTGTATTAATATCTGTTATACAGTGTGGATTCCAGGCAGAACAGCTGTGTTCAAGAACTGGTCTGGTGAAGGTTTTGTATGAACTGGTTTGCAGTTCAATGTTACTGGAGAAGAAGCTTCACAAAGTTAGGTTAACAACTCTTAATGCCTTTTTGGCAATGCTGTTACAGTGAGCTCTGGGGCTTAGATCATTTGAAATGAGTACTCCTAGGTCCTTGACAGAGTGAGGGTCATCTACAAAGTCATATCTGCCCAGTTTGTATTTAGCATTCTGATTTTAGTTGCCAATGTGTGAGACAGAGCATTTGTTGATTGAGCTTTGAAGTTGCCAATTGTTTGACCATTCTGACATATCGTCAAGGGCGCTTTGTAGGGTGGCAGTATTGTCAGTGGTGTTAAATAATTTTACAGCATCAACAAAGAGGATGCAGTTGCTTTTAATATGAATGCAAAGGTCATTTTTGTAAATTAGAAAGAGAGTGGGTCCCAGAACGCTGCCTTGGGGGACACTGCTATTAACTGGTGCTAGGTTTAATAGGGCACTCCTTATTTTGACTACTTGTTGCTTTGACAGGAATGCAGCTTTCCTGCAGCTATTTGTGCAGTAATCCAGAAATGCCATATGAGTTTAGTTTTAACAGTAGTTTGTCATGTACCACTGAATCAAAGGCTTTGCAGAAGTCTATGTAAATTGTGTCTATTATTGGTCAACTTGTGTAGTCCAAATGTTTTTGCAGTGTAGGAGTTGTAGATTACAGGACAATTTTTTTCCTGAAACCAAACTGTTTGTTACAGAATAGGTTGTTTGTCTCTAAGTGGATGATGATTTTCAATGAAAAACAAGTTAAACTTTTATTCATCAATTGATTGATCAATAAATCTATTAATGGATCAATAATTGTATTTAAAAAAAATCCTGGAAAACATTATTATGAGAAACACAATGCCAACACCAATTTGAAATTCAAGTTTTTCACTGAAATGTAATATTTTAATATAGCATGAGAACACCACAAATCTGTCTGCTGGTGAATACAAAAGGCTGCTTATATAAAGAATACAAAAGGCTGGTTATATAAGTTCTGAAAGAAACTAAAATGTATTTATTTATTTATTTATTTATTTTATAGTTCATATTTCTTAACCACACATCTTCCTCTGAGAGGGTCCCTGGTTGGTGTACAATAATTTGATAGACAAATGAGAATGCCTTCCCAAATTACAACAGATTTGGTACAGTTGCTATTTTAACAAACATTTCTCCATTTTTTTCTCTTTCTCTAAGTTGCTATTACTTGTTTTCATTCCTATAGCTAATATATGGGGCACACCCAGAGATGCTGGATCAAAGTGAATCATTTTCCTTCTACCATATGGTCCCAGAAGAAAACAAGATGTACCAAGGACTTCTTCAGCTGCTTCTGTATTTTAAATGGATCTGGGTTGGGATACTGGTGAGGGAAGATGATGGTGGTAGATTTGTGCAGATGACCTTTTCAACTTTTCCTCTTCATGGAATCTGCATTGCCTTTTTAAAAATAATTAAACAGTTACATATCAGTAACCTACTGCAGGAATTGGATTGGCTAATAGAAACATTTTATCTCATTATGAAAAGTAAAGCCAATGCAGTAATTGTCTATGAAACAACACTTCTGCATCTGAGATTGTTGCTATATCTTCCTAAAATGGAACCATTGTCGATAGAAATAAAAGGTAAAGTGTGGGTCATACCCTCCCAAATGGATCTTGCAACTGTAATTTACCAAAGAAGCTGGGATATTCAAGACATCCATGGTGCCCTGTCCTTTTCCGTGTACTCCAATGAAATTGTAGGATTTCAACAATTTGTTCAGGGAAGAGATCCTTTCTTATCAAAAGAAGATGGCTTCATCAAAGATGTGTGGGTACATGCATTTGAATGTGTTTTTCCCAGTTCTTTGGTGAATGAAAAAAATGATGAAATTTGCACTCTAAGGGAGAAACTAGAGAACCTTCCTGGTGCTTTTTATGAAATAAGCATGACTG